GGGAGCCTGATGCGGGACTCGATCCCGGGACTCCAGGATCATGACCTGAGCCGAAGGCAGTCGCTTAACCAACTGAGCCACCCAGGCGCCCATGTATTCCACAATTTCTGATGAGAAATCTGATATTATTCAAATCATAAAATGGGTTTTTTTCTCTAGTTGCTTTCAAGATATTTGTCTTTAGTTTTTGACAGTTTGATTATGATTTGTTTGGTAGTAGATTTTTTGAGTTTATCCTGTTGAGATTCACTGAGCTTCTTGAATCTTTCTTTTGCCAAATTTGAAGGTTTTTTTTGCCACTATAATTTCACATATTTGTTCTGCACCACACTTTTTCTACTGTCTTTCTGAGACTCCATTGACACAAATATCAGACCTCTTTCATATTGCCCCAAAGGTGTTTGAGACTCTGTTCATTCTTATTTTCCTCTGCTTGTTCAGATAATTTCTATTGATGTATCTTCAAATTCATGAACTCTTCCTATGACAATTCCATTCTGCTATTGAGCCTATCTGATGAGTTTTTTCTTTTTTGCTTTGGTTATTACATTTTTGAGCTTGAAAATTACAATTTGGTTCTTCTTTATGTCTTTTATGTTGTTTTCTGAGACTTTCTATTAATTTCAAAAATGTTTTTTTCTTTGTGTGTTGGAGCATTTTTATAATAGTTGCTTTGAAGTCTTTATCAGATAGTTCCAACATCTTTGTCATCTTGGTTGTGTCAGCATCTATTGGTTGTCTTTTCCAAAGCAGATTGAGATTTTCTTGGTTCTTCATATGTGAAGTGATTTTGAATTAATATCATGGACATTTTGAATATTAAGTTATGAGACTAGATCTTAAACCCTTTGGAAAATGTTTAAATTTTGTTTTTGCAGGAATTTGCCTTGGTTTGGTTCAGGCTACAAGTTTCAATCAATTTTCTGTGTTTTATAGTTTCAATGTCAATTTGTTTTTCACAGCCTTTGCAGTACTATTCAGAGATATGGGACATCCAGTGGCCAATCTGGTGGTTTATCTTAGAGTTCAGTTCTCAGAATTTATGGTGTACTGTTTAGGGTCAAATCCATGTAGCTCAGGGTGAACCCAGGAGTTCATAAACAATGTTATGAAGTTATTTTCCTGAGCTCTCCCTCTTCACAATTTACTTGGTGCTTTATAGTCTCCTAGAGCTCCTTTAATTAGTGTTGGATTTGGTTCTGATGCAGTTGAATTACTTGGAATCAGTTGGGTCCTTTTGAAGCTTGCTTTTTAAAGCTTTTTAATGATGATCTCAGAGCAACTTTTATACTAATTTAGCTCTACTACTAAGGCAGCATTCTTCAGATGAGTCTACTGAATGCCCCATGTATTATGAGATCTTTTTGCTCTGGCTGATGGAATCACAAATCATTCTCAATTCTTAGTGAGCTACAGGAATTGTTCTACCTACAATTTTCTGGTAATTCTTTCCTTGTCGTTGGGTAGTAATCCTCTCATGTATGTGTAGATTAATACTCAACCAAAGAGTTAATGCTAATCTCCAGAACTCAGCAGTTCTCTCTTCTTTGGCACTCTACTCCCATATTCTAGATTCTTTGGCCTTCCTCTTATCTCTTTCCTCTACTCATTCAGACCATCAAGCTCTGTTCAGGTTTTACTTTCCTATGCTGTGGCATGGAAACTACATCCAGACAGTAAGCTGGTGCAGTTGTAAGGTTTCCAGCTGGATTGTTTACCTTTTTTAGAGGTTTACTTAGTCCTGTGCTGCCTATTGTCCAATGCCTGAAAACTGTTTTTTTTTCCCCCCACATAAATTGTCCAATTTTTTAGTTATTTAAGGCTTGAGGGTAAAGTTGGTCCCTATTGCAATGTCTTAGCCCAAAGCAGAAGTGTCAAAGATTTTATTTTTTTACCCATTCACTAGCCTATTTCTTTTTGATAGAACCTAGAGATTCATGTCACCATCTTTAAAGATTTCCAAACTTTTTACACCTAAAACTAATACAATGTTATATGGCAACATAAAAGAAATGAATTAATTTCAAAAAAGATTTCCAGACATTTAAAATCCAAATATTTTCCTTTACTTGTTCATTTTAACACACACTAAACTAAGAAACTTTCTGTTTTTTCTAAGTGAGATGACTTCATAGTCAAGATTGTACTGCTACTCTGTTGAAGTTTCTTGGTTTTCTTTGACTTATTTGATGAGCTCATGGAGTTGTTTTGAGGATCAAGTAGTATAACATTTGAAATACTTTAAAATGTGTTATTCAAATGTAACATACTATTCTGAGCCATCAGGTGGACTTTACAAATGAAGCCCTAGTGGACATTGTATTAATATTTTTCTAAAGATATTATTTATATAAAAAGTTATCCGCCCCCCCACAAGTATTGAGAATCTTTAGGAGAGTAAATATTTGTATTCTGATTTTATAAATAAAAATTTCCCCACTACAACTTCCTTTTAGTTTGGTATGCTCATAATTAAGGGATTTGTAACTGTATTGACATAACAGCCTGTTATCTTTCAAAATTGGCAAAGAGTGGGGAATGAGAACTATGTGCTTTAGGAGGCTATCACTTTTGATTCAGTGTAACTTTGAATAGCTCTGGATGGAAGAATTTAAATATATTAAACCAGAAGATTATATTTAACCTAGTTAATAGTTCAATCTTTTGGTTACCACCTCTGTAATTTTTTTAACATAGTAACTTTATGTATTTAAGCAACTGATAATTTCTTGAATAGCTTTCATGAGGACTTAGTTTTTTTTTTTAAAAGAACGATTTCAAATTGTACAGGTAAATGAAATAATTAAATATGTTTCTCTTGCTTAGCAATTATGGAATGGTCAGGCTTGGATGAATTTCCTTCTAACAGAAAGTTATCAAATATATCAGAATGCTATCTACAATATAGGAAGAAAAGCACTTTATCTTCCAGACTGTTGGAACCATCATTATTCCCAAAGTTAAATAAAAAAACCCTCCAACATCATAAAATTATGGAGGACAATGATTACCTTGAATTTAAAAGATCAAAAAATCCTTCGCAAATAAAAAAATTCCTAAATGGGGTTGATAGCAGTAATACAGGATTCCAGGAACCATATTCAAAGGATGGCATAAACTTTAAGAAATATTCAGAGAAGATTGAAATTCATGACTCAAAGTCTATACCACATAACTTGAAGAGTATTACAAGCCTCAAAAAGTCTCTGGATAAAAGTGATACTTTTAGTATCCCCAAACTTCAGAAGCCAACTGTGAGAAGGCATTCCAGCCCCCTAAAACAGGTTTCATTAAAGGAAAAAGCTACAACGAATGCTCTGGGTCAGTATCATATACGTAAGTCAAAATCTAGCTCCTTGAGTTCTTGAGTTATCACCAAAACAAGCTGAATTAATCAGTTAATAGATAGTTGTATGCATTTCAATTGTCAGTACTTTCGAGTAACTGCCACTTCTGGTCTATAGGCCAATGCATATAACACTGTGGTTTTGATCGTTGTGCCTTTCCAGATGCTCCCTTTTTCAGATGCCTAACTTTGACCAAGAAGCTTATTTGTGATTAACTGGACTCACTCAAGTTCCCTAGAAAATAGAGGGCCTGTTTTCTTTTGGAAATAGTTATTTTATAATTTATTTAACAAAGTATGTAAGAAGTCTATGTGAAATTTTTGCTCAGGTTCCATAATTTAAATATATGATATCCATATCCAGTATAATATGATAATACTTCAGATATTATCTCTTATGGATGTGGGAACATCAAGAGAAAATTAATATTAAACATCTCAGCCGCCCAGGGCTTTATGGACTTCCTCAAAGATGAGCAAGGTTTCCCACCAATATATGTTTTATTCCTTCTGTGGTACCTCTATCACAGAAATACTGTGTATGGAACTCCTTCCTGTAGTCCTTAGCTGAAGTTACTTAGGTTATGTTTATTTTTTTTAAAGAAACGTAGTGATCTTTTTATTGCATTTCATATTACATGTAATTGCTAAAATGAGTGCTTAGTGAAATATTAGTGATTCTTATACAGCAATACATGTTTTCAATAACTCAGTTGAAAAGGGAGTGTGCTCTATTAAGGAGGCACAATGATATTTATTTTGATTCCTTTACCAATGCACTACTATTACTCTGTGCCCCATTCCTATTTCTGAGTTCTTTATATTCCAGGAAGAATTAAAACCCTGCTAAAAGAATAATGGAGTAGTAGGCATTTAGCCATTGAGTAGAAGAAGACTGTGGAAGAAAGTGGTTATCTATCTTCCTGGTGTCACTAAAATTAAATCACCTACCATTGCCGTACTTAATGTTCTGTGCATAGAGAAGTGTGAAATAGTTTATCTGATAACTTCTTAAAATAAATTGGTGGTAATTTAGCATCTATGAAATGTGACTGTCACTTGATTTACATTTTAAAAACATTTTTAACTTTTCATTCAAAATCATTAAATAATTTTAAAATCATAATAATTACACAAAAGTAAAGACGTTCCTATTTACTCCTCATCTAGTTTTCCCACGTGTTAAGATCTTGTATAACTACAGTAAATGCACTAAACAAGGAAATTAACACTGATACAATATTATTTACTATTCTGAAGACCTTATTTGATTTTTTTCATTTGTTCCATAAATGTTCTTTGTCTGGTTCAAGGTCTCATCCAGGATCACACATTACATTTAGTTGTCATGTGTCCTTAGTCTCCTCCAATCTGGGATGGTTTCATGACTGTGACACTTTTGAAAGAGTATTGACTAGTTATTTTGTATAATGTCCCTCATTTGAAGTTTTCCTTGTATTTCTTCATGAATAAGTTCAGGTTATGCATTTTTGGCTGGAATACCACCAAAATGATATTGTACCCATCCCAGTGCATGATATTAGGGGGCTTATCATGAGGCCAAGTATATCTGCTTCTAAAATTTTATGATTTTGAAGTTTGTGAACTGAAAGCGTGGTAGACTAAAGTGATGATGGGAAGGGGAAGAACTCTCATTTTTTGCTTGGAATCCTAGAATTTGAACACATTGATGTTTTGATCTCTTGAACTCATTCATTATATCTTAATCAGAACCAAGCAGCATTGGCTGAGCCACTTGAACAAGTTGTTCCTCCAAACAAGTAGTTTATAAGTGTTTATAGAATTTTCAATATTGTTTTCTGTTTGAACTATAAAGGAAGTATTTAGATATAATGTAAGATACAACAGAAATATGAAGAAAAAAGCAGTCCTATAAAATAATATTAAGTAGATAAAACTTGCTTTCTGACTACTAAAGATTTTGGGTGCTAATTGTTGCTTAAGACACATAAATTCTGTTGCTGAATAGTACTTTACATTTTGTATATTTAGAAAATATCTGTGAAGCTATCAGTAAACTCCAAGAAAATTACATTGCTGCAGAAGAACTTAAGTCCATTTTGCCTTCAATAGGAATTACTTTATCAGACAAAGTGTTCAAGAAGATTGTGACAGACACTACTCAAAATGGTGAGACTAATAATGCCAAACTTCTTGAGAAAATAGATACTTTTATGGGATAGTTTTAAATGATGGAATAAGTTCTCTCAACTAGGAATGGAGCAGAATGGGCTAAAGAAGATTCTAAAAGAACAGATATAAAAATGGAAAGTAGTATATAAAAAAAAGTTCCTGGAAAGTCTTACCTAATGGATTGGTTTGGAGAAGCTAAGCCTTTTGTATCTCAATTGTTTATGTAAGACTCCATGACTATCCCTAGCTATGTCTGCTAGTATGGGACAGGTACTGGGGAAGTCTGATCCAGTTGTAGGGAGGTTCAGGCAGTAAGACCACAATATCCAAGGGGTACAAAAATCTCTAAGCAAATAGCTTAAGGATCCAAGAAGAAATAATTGGAGATTCCAAAATGGAGAAGGAGTGCTACAGCTAGGAATTTAGGGCTAGTGCTACTTATACAAGTAGGCAGGCAGTTAGCATCTAGATGATGTTAAATGGCACATCCCAGTCACCAGCGTAAATTCAATGCAGAGTTTAAGTTTCCAGGAAGGGTTGTTGTATTAGAGAAGTTGTTTTATCATTAAGAACTGTCCATAGCAGAAGTTCAGTTGAGGAGAAGGCAGAAGCAACATTTTGGGGAAAGAATGACTTGGGAATATGTTAGAAATGAATTCTTAGAACCTGAGCAAAATTTCCTAGCTAAGGCAAAGAGAAAGAAGATTTGATTAAAAAAAATATCTAAAGAATAGGTGCTACTAAAATTATTGAGCTCTTTATGTTGCTTATCAGGATTGGTATAAGCACTATGAAGGGTTTGTACCTAAAAATAGATAATTATTTGCATTAGCTGGATACTAGGGGTAGAGATGGGGACACTTGGGTATGTAAGGACTGGTTAGTATTGTCAAGGTATCTTAATGGATAGCATATTGACTGGGTTTTCATGATGGTATGAAATAGACTCAAATTTCTCATGGTCCAACTATATGGGCACTTTTCCTTTTTCCTATATCTATCAAGAACTAAGTACCTAATCCAGTCCATTGCATTTTATAGTAGATATTTAAAAATTGTTGAGTAATTGTTGAAATGAAATGAACTGACCTAATTTAGAAAGACTCATCTAGGGAAACAAGATATGACGACTCAGTAGGATGATGATGAAGTGAGGGAGAATTCTTTCATAGTTGTATTAAAATATGAATTTACCTTTTATGCAAAAACACAACAGAGTGCATAATCCAACTCTTTATTTTACAGAAAGTGGAATGGTGACCTTAGATGACTTTATGAATGCTCTCGCCATAGACCAAAGTCTTCCTGAATATGATGGTAGGTGGGAAGTTTATTTTAAAATGATTTGGAGGAAAGAAGCAGTTAGGTTGAAAAGAGTTAGGTTCAACTGAACTGAGTTTGCTTTTCAGATAGAGACTTAATAGTCCTGAAATCCTCAGGCAAGCCATTTGCCAGTTTTTTAAAGACTTGTTCTATCAAGGTAATAATAGCTAACTTGCTTACTTCACAGAGTTGTTAAGTGGATTTTAAAAACTGTACTATATAAATGTACAGTAATAGTAAGGTAATGAGATGAAATAGGTACTTAGCTCCATTCTTAGCAATTGATGGTTGATTTGATTTTTAATTTTTTTAAAGATTTTATTTATTTGTGAGAGAGAGAGAGACAGAGAGAGGGACAGCACAAGCAGGGGGAGCGACAGGCAGAGGGAGAAGTAGGCTCCCCACTGAGCAAGTAACCCAATGCAGCGCTCCATCCCAAGACCCTGGGATCATGACCCGAGCCAAAGGCAGACGTTTAACCAACTGAGTCACCCAGGTGTCCCTGATTTTTAATTTTTTATAAGGAACTTGTTTGAATGAAATACTGGTTTGGTTTGCCTTTGTTTTAGAGCATTTCTAAAAGCAGTTCTATTGACATACAATTTACATACATAAATTTCACCCATCCAATTTTTATGAAATTCAGAGTCCTACAACTGTTACCACAAACCAGTTTTTAAAATTTTTGCTTGCAATGATTTTATTTTTTATACAAATAATTAAATATTTTTCAGCAAGATTAAAAGAAATGGAAGATAATAAGGCTTGCTCTTTTTATTTCCTTTTATTTATTCATATGCTAAAGAAGAAAGATAAGCTTTTTGTCTCTTCCCAAAAGATTTCTCAGATAAGGAAAAATTAATCCAAAGGAAAAGATTTTCTCTTATACTTAGATAAAAAGTCTCATGTTAAAAGCTACATTATCATTTGTCGTTTCTGATGAATGTAAGTGCTTAAGTGTCTGGATTTCTTGAAGACACTATTAGCAAATCAATTTCTTGAATGCTTCACCGTGCAATCATTTTTTCACCAACTCAGTCATTGTTTCATTGCTGTTTTTTGAAGTAATGTCTTGGTCACAACTAACTACCCTCCCCCC